TATACAAAAGTTTGCCAAATGTCTAAGGTACTTTCAACAAAAGTTTTGGTCAATATCTACTAATCAAGCTGGCCGCTTTCCTTTTGCATTCACCATCATGCTTACTTTTTTCCATTCAAATCATCATGTCCATCAAAATCTTAAGCTCTTCTTTGTCAGTCAGCTAAACCCAAGGAGATTCAAACTTACGGGATATTTTATCAACCACTTCATTCTTCATAGGGTTTCGATGCACTATTTGATTTTTCTGTTACAATCCAAATCCAAAAATCACAATTGTTATTGCAGCAGACAAATAATTTCCTTTATTCGCACTCTTTTCCACAAAAAACCATTTCTCAAATCCATGTTTACATGACGGATATGGGCGTTTTCTTGGGACAGTCTTTGAGAAAGTGGGTCTTACTTCTACAACTATGACAAATTCTGAACTTCCTTCCTATCATTCTACACTATAAACAAAAAGAATTGAAGCAACCAAGGCACAACTAACACACAACAAACTACAAAGCAAATTGCTTTTAGAGAACACATATTCAAAAGCCTTCATATCGCACGCACTAATCAAAACCATTTAAAATGTTCCATCACATCATTAATACCAACACCAAGTAAACATCATTTAATTAAGACGCACGTTGCTTTAAAAAAAATCGATGGACGTTGCTGATAGAAATATACAGTAAATAGAAAAAATTACACCACACATTGGCGGCCTCCCACTCTACTGAAACATAGCAAACAAATGATACCAGTCTACCAGATGTAAAGACAAGCCTGGTGTTGATTTTGCTGAATGCTGGAAGTGAAATAAAGTCCTTTACGTACGAGTGTCGTGCTTCGCAGGGTACAACAGTTGAGGAAAATATTTGGTGAATGGTTGTGAATTCCGACGGTTGCTGAATATGGTGAATTGTATGCCAGTGAAGCTTTTGATTGAAGTGCGGAGGGATTCTGCTTTGTGGGATTTCAATTTCAAGGGAAATGTGAAATGAAATTGGGTTGTTTTCAAAATCCCCCTTCTGCGTTTTCTTTCCTCTCTCTCTCTCTCTCTCTTTTTTTTTTTTTTTAAACCTGCCACGTCAACCTAGTCATAACCTGTTATTAACTCCCGGTCGAGTGGCGGGATTGAAATTTGAGCTATACCATGTATAACGTCGGTCCTCAAATTTTGAGTGACGTGTAGGAATTTACAAAGTGAGTCTTTTGGCATGCATGCATAAAGAGAAAACAAAAAAAATATATAAATTCACTAAATGTAAAAGAGCCCTCCTACACTTACAAGGGTTTGTTTTACAGACCCCTGCCAAATACTCACAGTGCAGGCCCCGACGTTTTTTTTTATTTTTATTATTATTATTTTTTTATGTGGGATCGACCCTTATAGTGAGGGGTCGGTAAGGATTCTATAGGAAATTGCTCTGTACACAGTGCAATTCCCAATGTAAAATTACTACATAAGAAAAATATAATAAATATATTATTCACAATTACAATCATTATATATAAGATTGACATCCGTATTAAGGCAGGCTTGTTTATATTGTTACTTTTGTTTTAATAAGAGACTTCACGTCGTGTCCCCTAGATATAAAATATAAAGGAAACAATACTTTCATGAACTTTTAATAATTTATCATTGTCTAGGAATGGCAAAAATACATGTTCAACTCGATACCACAAACCCCGTATCAAATTGACGGAATGGGGTCGTTGCCCGGAAGCAGGTATGGGAAACATGGTCCCCACTCCATTATTTGGCCCATTTAAAGTTAATTTCAAATTTATTTTTTTTATCAAAAAAAAAAATATATATATATATCATCATTTTTAAAGAGAACATGAGTTGTTCTCAACATATTGTTTTAAAAAAATAATATTGACTAACTAAACATATATAATAATAATAATAATAAAAGCAAATAATGAAATAAATTCAAAAAAAAAAACGAGATGAAGGATGAAAATGGCCGATCGCCTATACCTACTCCATTGCCATCCCTATAATTGGCTAATATCCTTGATTCTCCTTAGTTAATTTCTTTCCAAGGTTGACTCAAATAGCTGATAAGTTATCAAGATTTAAAAAATCACTTCATTTTCCAAAATGTAGGCGACCCTTTAAGAGAGAGAGAACGACTATACCCTCAATACCCAACATTCGGACATAATATGCTATTAGAGTAGTGATGTTTGTCAAGGTTTAGAGGCGGAGAAAATACAGACTAACTTAACTACACAAAATTGGGTGTTTGTTATTTATATTTTTCAAACAGTTTAATCATGTGTTGAAACGTGTGCACTCCAGATTTAACCTGTTTTTCAGCCTTTTTGTGTAGCATTGTTCATGCTATAAATCATAAACCGAAAACATTAATAAAAAAACTGAAATTCGACACCAATTCGCATGTCGCAATCTATTAAAATCAGCAAGTTAGCTTATTTCTAGTTACTTTTTGTGTTATTATAACATTTTGACTGGAAAATTGAGGTGAATATTGGAAAAATTAACAACTTAGAATGACGATTTTTTTTTTTTAATTGCGTACATGGTGGACTTATTCTTTGACTTTCTCGAAATATTTTTGTAAGGTTGATTGTGTGAAGGATTGAACGTAATTGTTGAAGGATTGAGAAGAATATCGAGAAAACTTACAATTATAATGTTCTTGTCCATCTGTAATAATTTGTAAGTTAAAAAGAATAAGAATATATCACATGAAATATATGAATAATAAAATGAGGAATGCTTGTAAATATTGATTAAAATTAATATTTGACTTTGAGATTATAAAAAGAGAAAAGTATTTGTAACTTTTAGGAAACATGAACAAATTAATATTTTTATATATCAAATTTTTTTTTTTTTTTTTGCTTGTTTATTGATTATAGTCTATTTACATTTTTTTTTAATGTTGTGTATATCAATATTTTCCATATTGTTTTTTTTTTTTTAATCGAACATGGTTTTTAAATGGGCTACTATGGGTTGGACAATATTTTTTCTCATAAATTTTTATCCCTTTAGCTTTATAAAAAAATTAATTCTGAAAAAAATCTTCAAATCAACAAAATATATTGTAACACATTATATGCGTATGGTGCCCCTATATATTTAGGGCACCGTGTGGCCGCGCCTCTCGCAGGACTACAGGGCCACCCCTGATCATGCTTTAACATCTTTTTTCAATTTAAGTCACAGGTAGGTGTAAAGTTCGAAGATGTGGGCAATTTCATTTGTGCTTAGTACCCATTTATGCGTTGGTAGTGTCATTACCATAAATTATCATAAATGTTCAACGTATAGAAGTGCATTTAGGCCTGGACGTGGGTCGGTGGGTCGGTTCGGTTCGGTTTTAAAAAGAATCGAACCGAACCAAAAATTTTCAGGTATTTAGTAAATTGAACCATCGAGTTTAAAAATAATTATGGAACCGTTCGGGTTCAATTCCATTCGGTTCGATTCGGTTCAATCTGGTTCGGTTCCGTATTATAATTAAATTTTTTAACATTTATAACAATACTACATAAATACAATTAATGACACATTCCACCGTAGTTTTTCAAACTAACATAGTTTAATTTAATAACAAATAAATAACCAGTTGCCCAACAAGATTAATTTACCAATGCATACAAATACCAAAAAGTAGATACTAATACTAAACTTCAATGATCCATTCGATGGTTCCTTTGCTTCAAACCTTTAAGTCTACATGAAAAATGAAATATAAATTAGAAGTCATAAAAAAAAATATTTTAAAGTATTGCTAATACTTATCAACCATTTGAATTAGCTATTAATTGTTTGACTTACCATACTTACTACTAAGAAACTCTACAAAAAAATTTTGAAAAAAATACAATTAAGAGACATAAATAAACTAAAAATTGGAACATTAATTACTTAATTAGTTAATTTTCTAATTTATTTAGAAAAAATAAAGATAATTTGATTTCTCCAATATAAAAAAATTAAAAAATTTAAAGAGATTCGGCTCTTGATCTCGAATTGAGAATCGAATCAAACCCGTCGGTTCTCGATTTAGATACCCATTCGGGTATTTAACTTAAGAAAAACCATACGATTTTGTTCGATTCGATTCGATTTCGGTTCGGTTCGGTTCAGACATTTTGCCCAGCCTTACATGCATTATAAATTTATTGGACAATGTGTCACCCAACTATAAAGAAACTAATGCTAAGAATCGTGAAGTTAAACCTTTGTTTATCCTCCCTTTTAAAGAGATTTTGGAGGAAAATGATTTTTGAAATAATGTTTTTTTGGAAAATATGTGATTTAAAAACAATATAAAGTTTCGAATTTACATGTGAAAATGAATTTGCGAAAAAATGAAGACAAACATGGGCTAAATATCGTTATTTTTAGAGTAATGCTATTTATAGTCACTTATTGTGATAGTCATTCTACATGACATCCTACATAACAGTTTATAATTTGATGTATTAATGTAGTAGTTTTTTCTTGCCTTATATATTAAATCACTAACCGACATATGTATATCACGTACGATGATTACAATAGTGAGTGACTGCAAGTAACATTATTCTTATTTTTAACTGTTAGAATTTAATCATAGAGTTTGTTGCTACTACTTGTTTATGTTATAATTTATAATGGTTTGTCAAGAAGAACGCAATTGTGATTTGGTTTTGCCCAATCTAACAATCACGTCTAACTTAAAAAAAGATTGGAAATACAGTTAGAAAATTTAAGAATGTTTTCATAATAGCTTCATACCTAACTACGACGGTCCAAAATTGTACAAAATACTAATAATCCTAACCTATTATTCAGTCGTGGATACCACCTTGAATTCATTAACGTGCTCTCGACTTCTTAATACGCCATCAGAGGCCACAGTAGGTCAAGTGGTATACCAACCAGTTCTATTGTTCTAATATATATATATATATATATATATATATACACAAACACACACACACACGTACATTTATGTCGTGTTTTAGCCAAAGAAAACATGGAGTCCCCACAATCGCGCAGGCCCCAACAAGCCATAATCCCCCGCTCGCATCGTCTGACCCGCTGCCAAACTGGAAGCGCCGCCGTGTCATCACTCCAAGAAATTCGTACAAAATCAAGAAATGGCCTAAAGCGTGAAGAAAAAGATCAAAATCCTTTAACAAGCAAAAAACCACAAAAGAAAACGGAAGAAATTACAGACTCTGCCGCCGCCGGTTTTGTTAGGTTTTTGCCACGCAGTAAGAGCAAACCGAAGGTGCCAAGAAGAACGCGATCAGCCTCTACTTCTCCTTCTGCATGGGCATTATCTCCTGGGAGATCTTCTCCGTTGCCGGTGCCGGTGCTGAAACCTCCCAGTTTGGAGACGTTGAAGTGGGACCCGAAAGGCGGTGGTGGTGGCAGAGGAGGAGGCGGTATGAGTGCAGTTTTGAAGTTCTTTAGGCAGAAGAAAGTTTGTACCGTGTTAGAAGAAGAATACCATCGGTTTCGTGTGATGCATAATAGGCTTTTACAGTGGAGATTTGCCAATGCTCGAGCTGAGACATCAATGGCGGCTGTCAAGAGACTTGCACAGGTACTCTCATATCTATTATATGAATAGCATTAGCATCACCATGTTCAAAACAATTAGATCGTACTGCATAATCGGAACTATTGGTTTCAAATGTAATTATGAATCAAATCGAACTGTTCAGTTCCATAATTAAAAATTTATTTTAATTTTTGAAATGTTCCTACAGTTAATATTGAAAAATTCATTCTGAGATCAGTTAATTCTTCTCCAAAATATAAGAGTGGATTTGGTATATATGTGTTCTTCAATGTACTTTATGCACTGCACCAACTTCACTATTTAAAGATGGAAAATGATGTTTGTACACCATGGTTTTACATCATGGTGTATAGCCCCTTATATGTAGAGGGGGCCTACCTGATTAAAATAATTGTGGGCCCCCTCATTTTGAGGGGGCTGTAAGGGGTGTACAGCTTTAGAGCTGTACACCAAGCATCTTTGATTTAAAGATAGAATAAATCTGTTAGAATATATTTGACATGTTGATTGAAATACACTCACATTCGTGTAGAGCCCGCATAAGACCCACTTGAATAAAAAGTACCCAAAAGATGTGCACTCCCACCTAATTTGAGTGCCCTATCAGGGAGGGTGCTTGGTAAGGTAGCTTGATTGTTAAAGATGAACAAAATTCTTGTCATCTTGGATTTTCAATTCCGGGTACTGGAACAAAAAAATGGATGGAGCTGTTTCAAAATTTAAACATGATGATTTAGTTCGGTTTGGTAATTTCGTCCACCCCTAATATTATGTAATTTCAAGATTCATTTTATCATTGAATTCTTGATACATGCAAAATTTCATTAATAGTTGACAACATATATTTATATAGTTATTATACGGCTCAAAAATTGGACCTCAACATTTTATTATAGTTTCAAGTTAATTCTTTCAACGTGATAAATTATTTTAAAAATAGTTAAATCATTATGTGCCATTACTTACGCTCCACACGGTAGCGACCAATCCGTCCCAGTAGCAATCGTAAAATAGCGCAGGTAATGCGCTTCAGCAGGACGAAACAACTTGCGGTAGAGGATGTAGGCAGATTCAGCAGGGGACACAGGCAGGCTCAGGCTGGGGACGTAGGAGCCTGTTTGGCAGAACACAGGCTGCCTAACGCGGGCAGTTTTCCAGCACATTAATGAGGCTTTTCTAAGTCCCGAACCAGCCATTTTGAAAGGAAAATACATGAACCTGTAGCCGAAAGTTTTTGGAAATGCAAGTGAGCAACTTGCACAACTTTTTCACGTGTGTCACTTGCAAGATATTATCAAGATGCAAGCTAAGATCGAGTTGGTAAACATAATATCAAGATGCAAGCTAAGTACGAGTTGGCACTATGAAAAGGACATATCCACTTAGGAAAATGGTAGAGAATGTCCACTTGATGACAACTAAGCATGAGTTGTAAAGTAGAATGCAACTTGATCAAAGGAGGTTTAAGACAACTTGCCTCCAATGAGCGCCCTTGGATCCAATTAATCTTGGCCATTGATTTGAAGGCAACTTGCAATGTTTTTGCCTATAAATAGAGACGGAAGTCTCATTTGTAAATCATATAGAGTGAAGTGAGTTTTATTCATTAGAGAGATTGTAAAGTTTTCCCTTTCATTTATATAAAGAAAGTTTCCCCAATATTACTTATTTTTCATAGATTCCTTACTTCAGAATTCACTTTTCAAAGTAGTTATAATTTAGCCTCTTTGGTTAAATTATTTGTGAGCGTGAAAAGGCTGACTTAACATTTTCTCATGAGAGACGTAAATTGCTAAACGTTAAGGCTGTATAACGAAACTAGGTCCGTCAGAAGTGGTATCATAGCCTCGTTGGTAGGCCGTTATAATGGCGGATTCTCAACAAACTATTAATATTGAGATTGAAGAAAAGGGTCGAGGTGCTGTCACAGCTGAAGCAAGGAAAACTCAAGGCAGAACTAAGACGAGAAAAGCCACCACCATGGAGGGTAAACTTGACCAAATCATCACAAATATGGGTGATCGGGTCGAATATCTTGAAAGCTCCTTCAAGGCATTGGAGAGACACGCCATTGGAAAGTTAAAAACTCTACAAATCAATGTCCAAGAGGTGATGGACACACAAGCATCGTTGGAAAATGATGTCCAAATAATGAAAGATGATGTTCAAGCTATGGTAGTCGGACAAGCCGCAGGGACAGATGAGTTTGGTCATCTCCAAACCAAAGTCTTGGATGTTGTTTCCGTCTGCATGGCCAAGTTAACTAATTGGTTGTGATGACGGAGAGAATGAGCAAAGAGCTTGAACAATACAAGCAATCCACTGCCGGTACAAACGGAGGTGCCGCTTCAACTATTGTTGCCCCGAGGATTGAATACCCGAAGCCTAAACATTATGATGGGCAACGGGATGTCAAAGATGTGGAAAATTTCCTATGGCAAATGGAAGTCTACTTTAAAGGCGTAAATCTTGTTGATGAAGCCATGAAAGTCCGGACCGCTTCTATGTATCTTACGGACACCACATCTCTTTGGTGGCGTCGTAAGCATGCCAATGTTGATAATGGAGCTTGCAAAATTGATATTTGGAACGATTTCAAAAGGGAGCTAAAAAGGCAATTTTACCCGGAGAACGTTGTGTATGAAGCCCGCAAGAAATTAAGGGAATTGAAACAAAAAGAGACCATTCGTAGCTATGTCAAAGAGTTCACGACCCTTATGCTTCAAATCCCGAGCATGCCGAAGGATGTCTTGCTATTCTATTTCATGGATGGATGTACAACATGGGTGCGACAAGAATTACAACGCCGCGGGGTCAAAAATATAGATGAGGCAATTGCGATTAACGAATCTTTGATGAAGTTCCAAAGGAATACGAAGTTGCAAGCAAGGACTTTCAAACCAACTAAAGGGAATTTTATCAAAGGCGGAGGTGATGTGCTAAAAGATAAACAACGGAGTAAGCCGGATTGGAGGCCAAATTCCAAAGTTGATTACAAACCCGGTGGCAACAAACCAACTACTTGGCGAAAGGAGTATGATGACAAAAAGAGGGGTAATTTTGGTTGCTTCATTTGTAAAGGGCCATATCTCATGCGAGATTGCCCTAAACTTGGATCCTTGGCATCAATTATGGAGACTCAACCGAAGGATTTCCATGGCAAAGAGGAAGGGGCAAGTAACATGGGTTCATTGCAACTTTTCAATGCTTTGAATGTCAAAACCGTTCCGGGAGTGAATGAAGAAAAATGATTAATATTCGTACTTGCTGAAATTAATGGACGACAAACATGGGCAATAGTTGATAGTTGATACCGGAGCCACAAACAATTTTATCATAGAGGATGAAGCACGAAGGCTAGGCTTGAATATTCACCATGGAGATGGATTATTGAAGATGGTGAATGCAACCATGAGGCCATTGGCAGGCATAGTTTGAGGAGGGAAACTACGGTTGGGTTCATGGCATGGACCCGTTGATATTTCTGTTGCACCAATGGATGATTTCAAGCTAGTATTGGGCTTGGATTTCTTGAGAAAAGTTAATGCAATTCCTATGACTTTCTTTGGTTCTATGTGCATTTTGGAGAAAGGATCATAATGCATAGTTCCTACCATTTCCATGGGGACGGTAGCGGGACAACTTTCGGCTATGCAATTAGCGAAAGGATGGAAGAAGGTTGAGCCAACATTCATTGCTCAATTGTCGATTGCGACCAAAGTCACCACTAATAATGATGATTTGCCGGATGTTATTGCAAAAGTCCTTGAGGAAAATAAGGACGTCATGCCCAAGGAGTTGCCAAGGAAACTTCCACCTAGGAGGGAAGTTGATCATCACATTGAGTTGGAGCCTAGTGCCAAACCCTTGGCCATGGCACTCTATCGCGTGGTACCTCCAGAGTTGGAGGAGCTTTGAAAATAACTTACGGAGCTTGTTGAGACGTGAAGGATTAGAGACCATCCAAAGCTCCTCATGGCACCCCGATGTTATTCCAAAAGAAGCAGGATGGGACATTAAGGATGTGTGTTGATTACCGGGCACTAAAAAGGTGACTGTGAAAAACAAGTATCCTATTCCATTGATTATGGATTTATTTGATCGACTTGGTAGCGCTAAATTTTACACCAAGGTTAATTTGCAAAAAGGCTATTATCAAGTTTGAATTGCGGAGGGAGATGGGCCTAAAACTACTTGCATTACTTGCTATGGTTCCTATGAATGGTTTGTCATGGCATTCGGTTTAACCAATGCATTGGCCACCTTTTGCACTTTGATGAACAAGATATTTAATCCATACTTGGATAATTTCGTGGTGGTTTATCTTGATGATATTGTCATCTATAGCAATACATTCGAGGAACATATTGAGTACTTGAAAATAATTTTCCAAGTGTTGCAGGAAAATGAATTGTACATCAAGAAGGAAAAATGTTCATTTGCCGAAGAAGAGGTGAATATCTTGGGACATATCATCAGGCATGGTCACTTGAAAATGGATGGAGCTAAAGTAAAAGCAATCAATGAATGGGAGCCACCTACTAAGGTGAATGGAGTTGTGGTCTTTCCTTGAATTAGTGAATTATTATCGGCATTTCATTAATGGCTACTCATCTAGAGCGGCCTCATTGACGGACTTGCTCAAAAAGTCTCAAGGATGGGATTGGACCGTGAAATGTCAAAGAGCCTTTGATGATTTAAAGGCGACGGTCATGTCGGAGCTGGTGTTGGCCTTGCCAGATTTCAGCAAAAGTTTTGAAGTTCAAACGAATTTCGCTATTGGAGGTATGCTCATGCAAGAAAGTCATCCTATTTCCTTCGAGTACCGCAAGTTGAACTACACAGAGCGACGTTACACGGTGCAAGAAAAAGAAATGACGGCAATTGTACATTGTCTACTGGTATGACGTCATTATCTTTTGGCTTCCCGTTTTGTGATTAAGACGAACAACGTGGCTATAAGTTACTTCCAATCCCAAAAGAAGTTAAGCTTGAAGCAAGCTAGATGACAAGATTTCTTGGCGGAGTTTGATTATGTGATGGAATACAAACCTGGGAAGGTGAATGTAGTAGTGGATGCACTTAGTCGGAAGGCGGAACTTGCGGCAATTAGCTAAGCCACGTACACCTTGTTGTAGGAAATTAAACAAGGATTGGAGCATGATCCCATGGGGAAAACATTGATGCAAGCCACCTGAGAAGGCAAGATAAGGCGATTTTGGATTGACAACGGGTTGCTATACACCACTGGGCAAACTGGTATTTGTGCCTAAGTGGAAAAATTTGCGGCGTGACGTGATTCGGGAATGTCATGACACTAAATGGGATGGACATCCCGGGATAGACCGAACATTGGCTTTGATTGAATGAGCATATTCTTGGCCGCAAATGCGTGACAAGTGGAGACATAAGTCCAAACATGTCTTGTGGCAAAGTGGAGAATAAATTACCGATGGGACTTCTTGATCCTCTTCCTGTTCCGGATCAACTATGGGATGTGATCACCATGGATTTCATTAGTAGCTTGCCAAAATCTGAAAGGTTCGGATCAATAATTGTTGTTGTTGATCGGTTTTCCAAGTATGCTACTTTCATTCCAATCCCTAAGGATTGCACTGTGGAGGAGACGACAAGGTTATTTTTCAAGCATGTTGTGAATTATTGGGGATTGCCTAAACATATTGTTAGTGATCGGGATCCTCGTTTCACTGGAAAATTGTGGACGGAGTTATTTAAACTCAGATCGGATTTGTACTTCGACGGATGGACAGACAAAACGGGTGAATGCATTGTTGGAATGTTATCTTCAGCACTTTGTTAGTGCTAATCAGCGAGATTGGGCAAAGTTGATGGACATAGCTCAATTTTCCTACAACTTACAAAAAAGAGAATCCATGGGATATAGTCCATTTGAGTTTGCAACAAGGTGACAACCTGCAACACCCTACACTTTGCCTAAGTTTGGTGATTCAAGTTGAAGTCCCGGAGCAATAAAAATGGCTAAGTCATTGGGAGATCATGCGGACTTAGCTAGATCTTGCTTGGAGAAAGCCCGGAAAAGACTGAAGAAATGGACCAATAAGGGACGGAGACCATTGGAGTTCAACATTGGAGATCAAGTACTTGTGAAAGTGTTGCCTCAACAATTCAAAGCCTATCGCAAAGTTCATAAAGGCTTGGTTAGAAAGTATGAAGGTCCATTTCCATTCATAGCTAATGTTGGAAGAGTTTCCCACTGGCTAGGTCTTCCAAACACTTTAAAGATCTACCCGATTTTTCATGTAAGCATGTTGAAGCCATATAGGCCGGATTTGGAGGATCTGGGGAGAAACAAATCAAAAAGGGTGCTTCCTTTTGTCACAAAACCTTTTGAGAAAGATGTTGAATCTATTTTGGCGGATCGAGTGGTAAGATGGAGATGTGTTCCCCCTTGCACTCAATACTCAATCAAATGGAAGGGATTGCCCGAGTCCGAAGCTACTTGGTAAAATGAAGGAGATCTATGGCAATTTGAGTTCAAGCTGCGCAACTACACAGCGACGAAGGCATCACTAGATTCGGTGGGGGTAGTGACTTATGCCCCACACGGTCGCGACCAATCCATCTCGGTAGCGGCCGTAAAACAACGCGGGTAACGCGCTTCAGCAAGGCGGAACATCTTGTAGTAGGGGATGCATGCAGATTCAGTAGGGGACACAAGTAGACTCAGGCTGGGGATGCAGGCAGCCTATTTGGCAGAACGCAGGCTGCCTGAATTAGGCAGTTTTCTAGCACGTTAATGTGGTTTTTCCAAGTTCTGAACCAGCCATTTTGGAAGGAAAAATATATGGACCTGGAACCAGATATTTTTGGAGATGCAAGTGAGCAACTTGCACAACTTGTCCACTTGTGCCACTTGCAAGATATTATCAAAATGCAAGTTAAGATTGATTTGGTAAAGATAATATCAAGATACAAGCTAAATTCGAGTTGGCACTATGAAAAAGACATATCCACTTGCAAGGAAAATGGTAGAGAATGTCTACTTAATAACAACTAAGCGTGAGTTGTAAAGTAAAATGCATTTTGGTCAAAGGAAGTTTAAGGCAACTTGCCTTTAATGAGGGCCTTTGGATCCAATTAATCTTGGTCATTGGTATGAAAGCAACCTGCAAGGTTTTTGCCTATAAATAGAGATGGAAGACTTGTAAATCATATAGAGTGAAGTGAATTTTATTCATTAGAGAGATTATAAAGTTTTTCCTTTTATTTATACAAAGAAAGTTTTTCCAACCTTACTTATTTTCCATATATTCCTTACTTCAGAATTCACTTCTCAAAGTGGTTATAATTTAGCCTCATTGGTTAAATTATTTGTAAGCGTGGAAAGACTGACATAACGTTTTCTCATGAGGGACGGGAATTGTCGAACGTTAAGGCCACACAGTTCTAGTTGTTCGGGCGTAACGAAACTAGGTCCGTGATACATTGTTCTATGGAACTGGCTAGCTTTTGTTTTTTGTTTTTTTCCAACTTAGATTGATATGAAGACAAGTTAAAGCTAAATATCGAGTACCAATTTTAATTAGCAACAAGTGTTACATTTGTTTTTAACATTTTTGGTTTCTTTCTTTAATACAGAAGAAGATTGTGAATGCTTGGTTAAGAATATCCTTGACGAGAAATATGATCGTAGAGAAGAGAAACCAAGTTTTAAAGCTGAAACACCAAATCAAATTGTATGAGATAATGAAATCCCAAATGAAGTTCCTGACAGAATGGTCAAGAATTGAAGCCAAAAATTGTGAAGCTGTTGGCAGAGTGGCTAGAAAACTCTCAGCTATATCAGTGTGTCTACCTTTAGTTGATGGCGCTGAGGTATAAATTTCCTATTTTTCATTATTTTCCTTAAAACTTCCTTGAACCTTAGTCGATTAACTAATGGCGAAAATAGATTTATATAATTTAGAAGAGAGACATACAACTTGTGAAGGGATAAAATTCCATATCGAGTAAAAATGAAAACATAGACCAACTTACAAGAAATTGGATTACTCATCTTAATAATGTTGACCTTTTAAGATGAAATCTCAAATCTTAATATATTATCAGAGTCTATTAAGCTCTAACGAGTAATTCGATCCAATTAAGACTAAAAAAAATTAACATGAATTTCAAAATTGATCTGTTCAAATGAGTCAAATCTTACGGTGGCATGTTAATTAGGAATTTTATCCCCACATCGAATAATATGAAAACATATACTAACTTATGAAAAATTATACACTACTTTTAATAAAGTTTACTTTTTAAGATAGAGTCACAAATATTAATACAACCTAAACTGAAATGCAATGACGTGACTTTTAGCTAACTTTTTGACAAATAACGTCACCATTACAATATAATTTACTTTATATCTCTATCCACAACTCTATTAAAACCAAATATGAAATTCACATGCGAACTTCTTTAATTTTATATGTACAGGCGCAAGTAATGACATTCTATGATGCCATATCGACTGCCACTGGAGTTATGGACAACATAGAAGCAATGATCGTGGACATGCATAGGCAGGTAGAATCAATTTTTTTGTGAGTCAATTATATTTTGTATCTTCATTTATCTCCAAATTCAATATGATCTTCAAATATTTAATGCAAATTGATGATTATGAAATATTATGTACTAAAAAAGGGTCAAATAGAACTATTAAATTAGTCATATACGAAGTTCGTTCTTAAAGATGGGTTAATCTTCAACTTTGTGTGCTAAAGATTGAGACCGCGAGCTATGTGTTGGTGGAGCTTATGATCATGCTAAAGCAACACGAACAATACTTCGAGCAATTGAAAAAGAGTATTGCAATAGTTACAAATCTAGAGGTAAAATTCTAACTTTGGTAAAAGTCGCTAATATTTTATAATTATAGGAATTTACAAATATTTGGCACATTTTTTTTTTTAATCTCTTAGCTATAAGCTAGTAATTTGATTATCTGTATAATCACATGCAGGTAAAAGAGAACAGTTTGAGAGTGAATTTCATTCAAATGGGCAAAGAAGTGAAGGAACCATATACCCATCCAACTTGTATGGACAAAAACTAAGAAATTTTCAGTAGACTTAGTCATGTATCAAAAGGCACAAAAGAAAAACAATTATGAAGTCAGTTGACTCTAAGCGCTAGTTTGAATCCCGTTACTTTAAATTCCATTACATTCAATTTTTCTCTTTTTTATTCTCAATCATACAATCTTTCATAAAATAATATTACACGTAAACCAAAAACTTTTTCTTCTTTTTCAAACACTCATTTTTCAAAAAAATAATATTCCATTAATTTTTATTTCCAAAAAATGGGACCAAATGAGGGCTAAATTGAAGGAAAAGTTTTCGATTTACATGTAATATTATTTTATGAAAGATTGTGCAGTTAGAAATAGGAGAAAAAAAAATGAAATGTAATTTAATGAGTACCAAACCAGGACTTGGTACTAACAAAATTTGATTTCTTGTTGGGACACTCGAATATATGAAATTACAAAGGCATGTCACATGACGTGCCATTTCCATAGCCAAATTTCATTCTTTTTCGAGTAAAATAAATTCCAGTAACGCAATTCTGCAGCTGAATTCGTTAGGAGTAACCATATTCTGATATATAAAAGTTTGAAGCTCCACATCTGTTAAAACTCTCGTAAACTTGTTCACTCGCTTTAAAACTCGACTACTAATGCAAGTTGAGACACAATGGTTTACCTGGTCTATGTGAAGAGGGATTGGATCATAGATCCCATGATTAGTCGCTGTAAGGTGGACACCTGGGCATAAAAAAAAAAAAAAAAATAGAAATTAAGATGTGACAACACAGCTTTCCAAGATAGATACGCAAATTCCCAGCAAATCCATTGATAAAATAGTCATAATATAATAAAATTCATGGTTGCAAAAGCATATAAAATTTAATAGCATGAGTTCCAAAAAGATAAACATGTTTGGCAAAAGTAACTTGAAACTTTTGCCCAAGATGATAAAGAATCCTACAATAGGGGAAACCAGAGAGAAGAAAATCATAAACATACTCAAAAATATCATTTTCAACGGTAGCGCCGAAGGGAAAGTGTCTGGTTCTTCTTCCAGGAAGCCCTTCTTGAAGGTCTTGCTTTGTGGTTCAACTGCCCTTTTCCACGAAGACCCCTGTATTTCTTTCCAGCAGAGGTAAGACCACGAAGTTCCCTGTGTTTGTGGACAGCATTGCAGATCCAGTTGATCCTTGGGTCATTACGGACAGCAGCATGGGCTGTGTCCACCAACATAACTTCAGAGTACTTGTAAGTTGAATCCTGTATAGCACATAGAGTTATGAACTTCACTCAAACATAAGGTCCACCAATGTTGCATCAACTACAAATAATCTCCAACTAGAAGTTAATGTGACGAAATTAATTTTCCCCTTCATCTTCACGAGTGTTTTTAAACAGGCAATCAGGATTAACATATTATTGTTGATTATTCATTTGAGACAAAAATTGATTGGTATACATTTTTCAGAAGTACTATCATCTTACTCTCCTAGGTTGCAAATGCACTAGAGTACTAGTCCATTCAAAGGCAGGAAACAAACATTTCTACAAGAACAATTCTTGGGCTGTGGAAGAATAAACACTTATCAAACAAACCTCGTCGATCCAGTAAGAGTTCAGAACCCTAAGACCACTCAGTTTCCTTCCAGCACGTTCCTCTGCAACAGAGCGCTTACTGCGTTGGAATTTCAGTTGAGTAACACCCTGGTTGGTGGGCTTACTGTACACAATACCCTTGGGAACTGGTCTCTTCCTTCCTCCACGTCTCACATGTACACGGTAGATAACATATCCCTGAAAAATTAAAACCCTCAGTTACTTAATATGAAAGGTGATAAAGCAAAAGCAAGAGAAATCAAGCCATACAAAGAACACTGCTAAGTGCAAAATTTTACAGGGTAATGTAGGTAAATGAAAATGCATTTATCGAGGGATTACAAGAAAGAAAAAATACGTTCATTATAACATTAAAAAAAAAATGACTTGCACAGAAATCATATCAATATATTGTACACTCAAAATTAGTCAAACAAATAAACATCATTGACGAACAAATTGCATGGTCAAAAGTAATGCTTAATTCTATATGTATGATCGATCAAACTATTTCAAGTGGAAGTAATAACTTTTTATGATGCTGCTAAATGAAACCACCAAAAAGTTAATCAAAAACAGATTTCAGCATAACTAACAGTAGCATGTTAGAATAAAATTCAAAGGCACCCCTGGAATAGCATAGCTGTGAAAAAATTTCAATTGAAACATAATCAAACTTCCAATTTTTGAACTAAATAAATATTTCAGTGGAATTTCAAAGATATGATAACCCCATTTTAATAGATTAAATCAACAAAAAGTAAACCAAACTAATGGGATCCATAATGTAACAGCCTCTCAATTATTAGGCTACTGAATTGGTGTCCAAAAGCCCAGGGTCAACCTTACCAAATACATAGATACAAGACACACACATATACACACAAGTGGTACATATACCTGCTTGGCCTTGTATCCGAGGCGGTGGGCTGTGATGAGGAAGAAGAACACTTCAAGCCAGATATCAGCTGGGGAAAGAAAAAGGAAAGAAGCAAACAGAATTAATTGGCAATTAAAGGGTGAAAGGAGCGATGCCGTTTCATTTGTATATTTTGTTATAGAAGAATAAGTTTTTTTTTATAAAACATGTCTCCTACTGTACTTAACTGAGGGAACGAAAGTAACGCAGCCAGATTGGTATTTGTCAAAAATTGTACCTCTTTCTTCTTCCCCAATTTCTCTGCTATTTTCCTCCGTCTTTCTCCTTTACTGTAATCTTATTTTGTTAATACAATCACAGCTTGGGTAGTTAATTCCAGCTGGTTATCTTTAATTGCAAGTTGTTGTGGTGAATATTGGTCGGTTTTGGTTGAAGTTCAGCCCAACGATTACAAGTGGTATCAGAGATATAAAAAATTCTGGGGATGGATACTAGGGCCAAGGTAGTAGAGGAACATCTGAAGAAATTAGACAGAGATGTGGAAAACCCTGGAGAAGCTTTTAAAAATGTCGGTGTTAAGGTGGGGATGTCTGATCAAACCTGACAGAATCCATGTAATAAACATGATAGAATGGAGGCAATGATGAGTGAGATGAATTCTAAATATGAAGGTTGCAATGATGGCACAATGGAGCGGGCAAAGGGGAGAACCCAAGGACAAAGATAAGATAGGATCATTCGGAAACTCCACGATCAGGGAAGGGCTGTTGTAATTGGTTCAAAAATTAATCGAAAATTGGTTAAGTTTAAAACTGGGAAAATGAAAATGTATGATTTCGTGTCAACTTCGGTCATATGTTCGGACTTGATCCGATGGTCAAATTACAAAAGTAAATAGACCAAGTTATTCTACTTGTCGAGTAGATCGTCGTGGTATATTTGGAATCTCGAAATCAATTCCAGATGAATGAGAAATTACGGCCCAAAGTTGGAAGAATGAAGTATTGCAATTTTTCGGAAGGATGTAGGTTTGAAATGAAGTGTTGCAACTTTCCATGAAAAATGCTGGATTTAGGGTGTGTCCCTTCACCCATAACCCTTCATCTTCTATATATAGGACCCCTTGGATGTGTATTTGTCATTCCAATTAATTCCATAATTCCATATTATTCATTTCATGTTAAGTTACATAAAACACTTTGTAGAAGTGATTATCTTTTGCATCAAAATCATTGTTACAGTAGAGAGGGAATTTCGTTCGAGTTCGTTAGTCAAAGCCATTTGAAGTGCTCCTATGGCTTGAGGTGGTCGTTGTATCTTGGGAGATGATTGTCGAAAAATCGTTAGCACCGATGCGGGGCAAATTCATCTTAAGGACCAAGTATCAAACACTTGCCTTGACCAAAAATTCATCACTTGCATCTTTCTTCCTTCATTTTCTGATTTCTCTTCATTATGATTTGATTTCAAAAACTGATTAACATTATTTACATGTTTGTTCTGCGAGGTTTAATTCAAAGAATAACTTACTTTTGTTCAAGAATTGAAAAAAGATAAATCCATATTCATGCATTCAGATTCGGTAACTATTATTGTTTTGCTTCTCAAATTTTATTTTGGTAAGTCAAAATTACGTTTCGATTTCACGCAAATAAACGGTATGCTTTTATGAATATAATAGGCACATAATCGGTGTATTCCCCAACAAGGGCTACTCACACCAAAAATAGGTATAACATCTGAGAGCAGTATGGATAAGGGAAATAGGAGACTGGAAGTGAAGCTACCCAAGATCGATTTTCCTTATTTCAATGGGGAGGGTCCAAGGGAGTGGCCGAGGAAGGCACAAAAATACTTCCAAATCCACTAAGTGCCGGATGGAGTTAGAGTCAGAATTGCAGAGATGTATCTAAAAGGAAGGGCAGATGTGCGGTTCCATGGGTTCATCAATAGTAACCCTGGGGCTGATTGGAGTTTATTCTCAACCGAGATTTGTAGAAGGTTTGCTAAATCTACAGCAGAGGAAATCATCGAAGTTTTCAGCAAAATCAGTTAGAAGGAAAGTGTGGCTCAGTATCAGGGGTTGTTTGAGGATCTTAAGTCTCAAGTTATGCTCTCATTACCTCACCTTGCAGAATCCTATTACATTTCTATATTCACCGGTGGATTAAAGGAAAAAATTAAATCCATGGTTAAAATTGTTAGACCAACTTCTGTATCCCAAGCTTTTGAAATAGCCCTTTATATGGTCCAATATACCCCCAAAAACCTCCTGATAGTAACCCCAAACATTTACCTAACGTCAGCACTGACCCAAGCCAAAAAAATCAAACACATCCATTGAAGTTCAGAACCATTACCCCTTCCGACATTCAAACCAAAAGAAGTTTGGGACTCTATTTTAGGTGTGATGCGAAGTACACCCCAAGACACATATGCAAGAATAGAATGCTTAATTTTATGCCGATTGATGAGGAAGAGATGAAGGTAGACGACGAAGAAAAATTATCAGCAATTTATGAAAAAGAGGAAGAATGGAGATTTTTATCAATGCCCTTTCTGGGAGTCTGAAATCTAAGACCATTAGGATTCCAGGACAAATCAAGAGAAAGAAGGTGTCTATCCTCATTGATAGTGGTAGCACTCACAATTTCATCGATGAAAAATTAGTGTGGGAGTTGAGATGCAAAGTAGAGGTCACTCTAGCTGTGACAGTAACTGTAGCCAATGGGGATAAGCTGTGCAGTAGTGCTACATGTAATCCACTAAATTAGACCATGCAAGGAACGGAATGCCAATTCCAGCTGAGGGTGCTGAAGTTGGGACGGAGTGATATGGTGTTGTGGGTAGATTGGTTAAGCCAGTTTAACCTAGTCATATTTGGTTTCGAACAAAGCAGCATTAAATTTTGTTATAAGGGAATGGAAGTTGAACTAAAAAGTGAGTTGGGAAAGGATGAAATTTTGATGATAGGAAGGGAAAAGATGGACCAGTGGGTTCGTGGCTCAAATCCATTAGTGATAGAAGGTGAAAAGTAATCACCTCCTGTGGAGATACATGATATTATCAAACAGTACTCGGATGTATTTGAAGAGCCAAAAGGGATGCTACCTCCTAGATTCAATGACCATAAGATTCCACTGAAGGAAGGAGCTCAACCTTTCTGAATAAGACCCTACAGATGCCCGTATATACAGAAAACAAAAATGGTGAAAGAAATGTTAGAGGTTGGGATCATCCAGCTAAGTAACAGCCCATATACCTTCCCGATGTTATTGGTTAAAAAGAAGGATTGAACATGGAGGTTCTGTGTGAATTACAGACAACTAAATAGCATTACCATCAAAGATAAATATCCATGCCTTTAATTGATGAGTTAATTGATGAATTACAAGGTGCTAGGTGGTTTTCCAAAATTAACCTGAGGGCAAGGAACCATCAGTTTAGAGTGGCTGAAAGTGACATACATAAGACAACATTTAAGACACACCATGGCTTATTTGAGTTCAAAGTCATGCCCTTTGGACTCACTAATGCTCCAGCCACATTCCAATGCTTAATGAATGAAGTTTTCAAGGAGTATTTGAGGAAGTTTATCTCAGTTTTTTTGATGACATATTGGTCTATGGCTGTGACTCGATATCCCATTGTAATCACTTAGCTAGAGTACTAGAGGTATTGAAGGAGCAACAACTATATGCTAAAGGGACTAAGTGTTCATTTGGGCAATCTAGAGTGGAGTAACTGGGTCACATTATCTCAGTAGTGGGAATGGCAGCTGACCCTACTAAAATTAGTGCAATGCAGCAATGGCTAACTCCCATTTCTATCAAGTAACTAAGGGGGTTCCCCAAGTTGACAGGATACTACAAAAAGTTTGTAAAAGGGTATGGAGTTCTTGCAAGACCTTAGATGGATTTACTGAAGAAGGATAATTTCACATGGGATGAAATGACAAATAGGGCCTTCCAGAAATTAAAATCAGCAATGTGTAGGACCCCAGTTTTAGCTTTACTAGATTTTACTCAACCATTCATCATTGAGACTGATGCTTGCCATGGAGGTATGGGAGCTGTCTTAATGTAATATAGAAGACCAATTGCCTACTTCAGCAAAGGAGTTTGCAATGAGAAACTAAGAATGTCCATCTATCAGAAGGAACTTCTGGCATTAGTTACTGCGGTGGAGAAGTGGAGGCATTATCTGGAGGGACATCATTTCATCATCAAAACAAATCATCAGTCATTAAAGTATTTGTTAGAGCAAAGGATAACTACATCCATTCAACAAGAATGGTTGACTAAACTACTAGGACTCAGCTATGAAATTCAACAAAAGAAAGGGGTAGATAATGTCGTGGCCGATGCTCTTTCCAGGAGAGAAGAATCATCTATGGAAGTGGCAGCAATTTCTAATGTAACACCCATTTGGATACAGGAAGTGATAAGTAGCTACTAAGATGATGCAATGGCTGCAAATCATATTGAGTAATTGTTGATTAAAACCCAATGAAGACTCTGAATTTTCCTATCACAATGGTTTACTCAGATTTAAAGGCAAGATATATGTGGGATCTGGAGGTTAGATAAGGGCCAAGTTGATTCAAAATATCAATTCTTTCCAAAATGAAGGCTACTATGGTATTCAGGGCTAAGCAACACTTTTATTGGTCAGGGATGATTAGATATATCAAGCGGAAGATAATTCAGTGTGATGTTTTTCAAAGATGCAAGGTAGAACATGTTCCCTACCCTGGCCTACTACAACCTTTGCCTAAACCACAATATTCATGGAGCCACATATCCATGGATTTTACTGAAGGCTTGCCCTCTTCAAAAAAGAAAATAGTTATCCTGGTAGTGGTGGACCGATTTACTAAATACGGACACTTCATAGCCTTATCTCATCCCTTCTCTGCAATCATAGTAGCCAAAGTCTTCCTTGATAACATCTATAAGCTCCATGAAATGCCTCAAAGTATTATGTTAGACAGGGACAAGATTTTTACTAGTGGGTTTTGGCAGGTGCTCTTCAAAATGATGGAAACCAACCTGTACCTGAGCTCTACGTATCATCTACAAATGAACGGGCAAACTGAGAGGCTTAACCACTGTTTGGGAATGTATTTAAGGTGTATAACAGTCCACCAACCTAGGAGATGAATTGACTGGTTATCACTGGCTGAATGGTGGTATAATACGACCTACCACACAACAATTAAAATGAGCCCCTTTGAAGCCTTATATGGTATTAAACCACTGCATTTGGCATTGGGAACTTATTAGCAAACCAATGTGGCAGCAGTGGAAGAACTAGTGCAAGAGAGGCATCAAATGGACCTACTTCTAAAAGAACACCTTGCTCAAGCCCGAGCAAGGATGAAATTCTATGCTGACCAGCACAAAGTAGAAAGAGTGTTTGCAGTTGGTGATTGGGTGTATTTGAAGTTACATCCTTACAAGCAAAATTTTGCTATGAGAAGGACTAATCAAAAGGTAGCTACCAAATACTATGGACCTTACAAAATCATCAGGAGGATTGGCCAAGTGGTGTATGAATTGATCCTACCCCATACTTCAAAAATACACCCAGTATTCCATGTATCTTTACTTAAGAAAAAAATAGGAGAACATGAGGTACCTATTTTGTTACTACCAGAGAGCGGAGATCAGGAAATGATCTACATGTAACCTGAAATGGTGACGGAAACTAGAATGATCTAGAGAAATTAGTAGGTAATGACACAATGGCTGATTCAGTGGAAATGCTTTGACAGGGATGAGGCCACTTGGGAAGATGCAGCTGCAATTCAAAACGAAATTCGTCTCTTCCAACCTTACAGACAAGGTCATTTTGAGGGGAACGTATGTGATGAGGAAGAAGAACACTTCAAGCCAGATATTAGCTGGGGAAAGAAGAAGGAAAGAAACAAACAAAATTAAGCAATTAAAGGGTGAAAGGAGCGAAGCCATTTCGTTTTTATATTTTGTTATGGAAGAATACGTTTTTTGTTATAAAACAAGTCTCTTACTGTACTTAACTGAGGGAACTAAAGTAACGCAACCAGATTGGCATTTGTCAGAAATTGTACCCTTTCTTCTTTCCCAATTTCTCTGCTATATCTCTCCGTCTATATCCTTTACTGTAAGCTTATTTTGTTAATACAATCACAGCTTGGGTTGTTAATTCCAGCTGGTTATCTTTAATTGCAAGTTGTTGTTAATATTTATTGATTTTGGTTGAAGTTCAGCCTAACCATTTCACAGGCCTTGTTAGGGCGGGTTGGTCTAGTGACACGTACAACAGCGGGAAGCTGACGATACTCCCAGCAGTGGACCCTCAGCAAGAACCTCATAGCATCAAACTGCTTCTTCTTCCATAATTCCGACACATAAGTATACGCCCCTGTAAATTCCAAGCCAAACTAAAATCCATCAAAAATTTCCTTAAGAACAATACATGTATTTATGTTTATATAGTTGATGAGTCCGATGTAGCAAGGAAAAATGGATTTGCAGGTAGAAAGAATACCCATTGATGCTGATGTCGTTGTATGGAGCTTCGACTGAGAAAATGCAAAGAAGATTGGATTAGGGTTTTAAGAGAATGCTGCGACTATTGAAAAGACTCAAGCAGCCCGGGTTTTATAATAATTTACTGTGTAGGCCACTAGAGGGTGGGAAACCGGGAATTCAAAGTGGGAAAGTCATGAACGGACACTTATCTAATTATTATGATTTGAGTTGGGCAATGTTGACCTAAAAATATGTTTCCAACAGATACCAAACCCACCATCGCACGAAATCCTAGTCCAGCACGCTAAGACAAGTGGACAGTCTGAACAAGGGTGTGGGAGCGACTTAAAGGTGTGGGACGAAAACGGTCGAAATCTGACGAGATGTTTGCATAACGATTGTACAATAATTATCAATCGATGTTTGAAGAATACGTATATGAATTCGTGTACGTTGCAAGAGAGTAAAATGTAAAGAATATTGTACGTGTTCTTGTGTTGAATCTTGCATTAGCTTTGTATGGGGTACATGGGGGAGTATTTATAATGTTACGAGTTAGATTGTGGTCATCAATTGAGAGTACACGTGACCTCATCTTGCTAATTTACATGTCAAACTGTAGGTGTCAAGTTTGACCTCCTAGCTTGCTATACATTTATTAATTTGCGGAGCCGCCTCTACTCTGACAAGACAAGACAAGACAAGACACTAACACTCTATGATGGGTGTCCCATCAATCATTCAAAGAAGATTCTTGTGTAAAGCCGGATCTCTGGGGAGAAGTGATGCAAGGGGTGCTTCAAGGCTTTGACTTTCGCATGATAGGCCTCCGTATGAACGACCTCGGAAAAACAAACCACTTAGGCACAACACTTTGGCATTCCAGAATCTGGGCCACGTCACTGGCCGTGTTCGAGTGGTTCCTGATTCTTTGTTGGCCTGTGGGACTCGGCCACTATGCCAAGTAGTTCGACAAAGGTGGGCCCTGGGTCTTATTGGGTCAGCCAAGTGTGTCAACACGTAATAGGCAAAACTCTCTAAACGAACTAAACTGAATTGGACTTGAATCGAATCTCGCAATTCTTCTTAAATTAAATACTTAAATGAGTATCTGAATTGAACTCGTCGGTTCTTAGTTCTAGATTAAGAACCAAAAAATCGAATAAGAAGCGAATCTTCCTACTTTTTAAAATTTATTTATTTTAAATAAGCTAAATTACTTTATTTTTTCTAAATATATTTGCTAAATAGTTAATTTAACTCAAAACCAAAAATATGATTTTTATATTTCTAATTTTCAGTCCAAGCTTAACTTAATCAAATTGACCTATGTTTTATTCATATCCGTTATTTTATCGTAGTGCTATTTCTATCATTTTGGAAAAATCGAATTGAAGTTCGACAACGCTTCTCTTGATTATTGTGAGTTCACTATCTTCCTCTTCCTATAATTTTAACAATCAAAATTATAAAGAACTCAGTAAAGAAAGATGCAAAAAATACATGAGATTGGACTATATTATTTTGTAAAAGCTAAGATTAAATTATCATTAGTAGAATTAATGTAACTTTGTAAATATTAAAAAAATTTAATTATAGTACAGAACTTGGGAAAGTTTCATAATTAAATTTGGATATGCAATTCTCCTTTCTAATACCCGAAAATTTCGGGTCTGATTCGATTCTCGTCAGAACCGAATGAATCAGGCCATGTCCAGCCCTAATTTGAACGGAATATGTAACTTGATTGATGTTTGGTGATGATTAAAATTAGATTTTTTAATATATTGTGATTGAAGTTTTTGAAATGTGATTTAAAAGTTGTGGAATCTATGAAAGATGTGGTTAATATTGATTGTTTGATTTTGACTTATATCAAAACAGGATTTTAAACAAAACCAAACATGCAAAAAAAAAAAAAAATTGTTTGTGCCAGTGACAGATATAGCACAAAAATTCAAAATTTTAATTTCAACATCAATTTCCATTAAAGAATAATTTATTAGTGGTGGACATGATTTTATTTGATTTTGGTTTCAAGAGAATCAGACCGAATCATGGATCAATGATTATTTTATTTTATTTTATATAATGGAATCAAATGATTTTTTTTAAAGATATGAAACAAAGCTAAAATCGAACTGATTTCATAAATTTTCAGAGTAGCACCATATCTATAAGTTAGTAATATATATCTAAATAAGAAAAATAAACATCAAACATTCAGTAAATTTAGATTATCAATTATCAAGATCAAAGAAGTCCAAATTAACAAACATAATATAGTCATAATTCGAATACATTATTCAAATTTTATCCATATATAAAAAATTGTCAAATAAGTAATGACAATGATTCACTAATTAATTACAGTAGTTTTGACAACACACACTCCACAATAAAAAGATGAATTATACAAAACTTTTATAGTCCACTTTTACCGGCAATCATTAACCGTTTAATATTAAATAAATGTTTATTTGATTTTTCTCTATTTGTGAAAAATACAAATAATTCATCAAACAATTAAGTTGAAAAAAAAAATTGATTTAAAATCTTTTTAAGTGACTGTCAATTCCATTTTCCCATCTTGAAAGAGTCTCCTCTACTGACGTGATGAAACACAATGCCAACACGTCGTAACATTATGTAAATTGAAAAAGAGTGGAACATAAATGATTCAAATTAATACAAATTTAGGGTGTACACAATTAATGGGCGGTCTCCAATAACCCATAAACGATTACTGGCATGTCTTCAATTAATAGGTTGTTTCCAACGAATACAGAAGCAAGGTCTCCACTAGTTAACATCTATATAAAAAAGGAATAAAATTAATCTCCTGTATGATGGCCATTATTTGGTTAAAACGATGATTTTGGTTCTCAGTTCTAGAACTAGAATCAAACTAGAAATAGAACCAAATGATTCTCGGTTCAAAGAACCGAAATCATTTCATTTCTTTCATGGAATCCGCTCGATTTGATTTAGTTCTTGTTTAGTTTGGTCGAAACATTTTGTCCACCCTAAGAATTTATAAATTAATAAAAATAATTTGTGGGTATATAGATAATACTAGTGAGTTTATTGAAATGTGTAGTTGAAAATGGAGTTTAAGCATTTATAAATGATTTATATATCTTTGTCAAATGGAGACTTAATCCATGTTTGGTCCTCATTTTTTAAAATTTATTTTTCTTCAAACTTATTTTCAATTGTACATTATATTAAAAAAATTTATAAACTTTTTAGCCACTCACTTTCATCACATAAACCAAACAGTGACTTAATAGTTTGCAATTGAATAGAAAGATTACAATTATTCTAAAAAAAAATCAATAAAGTAATTCCTACATAAATAATATTTGTCTTTTAGGTTTATTTCCTATATATATAAAAGAGCATAACTTTTGCTAAACACGTGTCGCAATTTCCTATCGTCGCCCTAATTTTTTTTTTTTCCATCTTCACCCAACATCACCACATCTTTATTTTCATACACACTACACTAAAAAGGGGGCTATTGCAACTGTCAAAAAACGTTGCAATAGACTAGGCTTTTGCAACGTTTAGCAAACGGCTAAACGTTGCAAAAGCAAATGTTGCAATAGACTAGGCTTTTGCAACTTTTAAAAGATGTTGCAATATCTAGGCTTTTGCAACGTTTGCTAAACATTGCAATGGCCTATCTATTGCAACATTTTTTTAAACGTTGCAATATCTAACGTTGCAATAGATAGATATTGCAACGTTGTAATAGCCTATGTATATATTGCAACGTTTGTTAAACGTTGCAATAGCTAATTCACGTTTTTTTTAATCTATGCTTAATACTACTAAAAATCCTGTTCTTTGATCAAAAAAGTCATTCAAAACTAACAAACATGTACCACCAAAATAATAAACTAACAAACACATTACTCATTAAATTTGTAAAATATTCAACACATAATCTCTTCCAAAATAAAATTAAGAGCCTCCAAACATGTACTACCAAAATGTAATTAGGAAACTACAAAAATTGAAACTTAAACTTGAAATCGTCGCATGCTATTTGATCAATACCATTGCCACTAAGAGTCTAATACAACTCTTTGGCCAAGCAATAGTATTTCCCATGGCTTCACTAAGAGTGCGGAATTCATTTGTGGGTCTGTATATGGTCAAATTACCCATATAGACTTCCTCAACCTAAACCTTCCAATAGTCTCGATCGAGTGGCAAGTGATGCACCTTTGCACTTGGATCTGTTGTAGCAATTTTCCCTTCTGCTACGACTTCTTCCTCCTCAAACTTGTACCAATGCAACAATTGACATCTTGCATTTGTCTTGGGGGTGGTACTTCCTTGGACACCACTTCCTTGGTGTGACTACAAATTCATAATAAACAAAAAGTATTCTTTTTAAAATTAGAATGCTACAAACTGAATATATATTAAATAAACATTTAATAATATAGGAAATGGAAACCTGAGTAAAAGTATTTGAATTCCTATCCTTCACAGTCGGTATAATAATACAAAAATTGCAAAATTTATTATACATGAATTGGCTATATAAAGCTATATAATCATAAAATTTATAAAAAGTAACTACTTATAACCCGCTGAGAAAACCTGATAAATGCTTTTATTTTTTCTTTTAATGCTCCAATCCTTTGTGCCTGAATCTGTACTTGGCTTTCAAGTTCTCTAACTCTCCAATTACTTTGTATTTGTCCATCCACTTTTGATGGTACAACTCCAAATCCGGGTCCCCTAACTCTCCCATGATGTTCGGGACCTAAAATTCAAGCTATAGCATCATCATGGATGGAATCTTCGGCAGGCATATCAAAAATTGATGTGGCACAATCTTCAATCTTTTTCTACACTTATGAAACTCAAATCAAATAGTAGCAAGTGATACAACTAAAAAATCAAATTATGCTTAATTGACCATTGGTATAATACACATACCAATGTTTCGGCAACTGTTTCATTAATTGGTTTTCCATCTTCTCTGAGATGTCCATATTTTCATACTTCTGTTCTTAACCCTTTTAAATGTGGATTCTTTTTCTTCTGTAGTACAAATGTAGTAATCAAATATATTGAAATTGGACAATTCAAGTAAAAAGACATGATATGTTCGTAAGGAGTACAATTTCATAAGCCACACGTGGATAACCCTTTCTACCCATAGTATGGAGAAGCTTCTGATTAGTTCGCATGTTGCTGAA